CGGGGAGCGCGGCAGGATTGGGGGAGGCCGGTCGTCACACGCGGGGCTGTCACGCACCGCCCGCCGCCGCCTTTCGGGTCTCTCCGCCCCGCCGTCAATTGTCAGCGCTCCCCAACCGCAATCAATCAGTTATTTGTCAGCCCCTGTCAATCCGCCCTTGATTTATGTCAGCTTTTGTTGCTGATTACAAGCCTGGTGTGACTTGAAGGGGGAAAGAGAGAGAGAGAGGAAGGAAAACAGAAGGAGAGACGGGCTCCTCGGGAGAAAAAAAACCATTCAATTTACGGAATAAATCCTTCGAGTAAACTCGATTTGAGTGCCAGCACCCGGCAGCCCTTAGTCCCCTTCCCTCGTCGTCCTCTTCGAAGACGAGCCTTTCATCCCTGCATCCACCCAGCTGGCCCGGTCTCCAGCACCGGGGCTCTGGGGAGACGGCCCCAAGTCTAAGTGAGAGTATCTGTTCGCCATTTATGTGTTTAATTTCAGCTAGGCTGTGTTGAGAACCTCGTGGGTATGCACGCGGTATCCACCCGGACGTTATATATACATCCTGCTTTGTGTCTGTGCCCTCCCAAAGGGTACCGAGCCCTCTGCCCTCAACCCCCGTTTTACCGTAGCGGCGGATGCCCCGAGTGGAGTCCGCAGCCCTTCTGTCCCTCCCTGGATTGCCTTTTCTTTTCTCTTTGTACTTTGCATCTCACTATCCATTCCACTCCACCCCCCCCGGCCCCGGCCCTTAAGCCCCCCTTCTCATCCCATAACATTTTTTCACAGGCAAAATGTGTTAATCAATCTTTTACTTTTGTTTCCGGATCTGACATGGTGGCCCACACAATCTACAACATTAACAAAAAGGTCACTTAGAGATAAAACACGTTTGACAAGTGAAGAACAAGGCAAGCGCTTTAGGGGTCGCGTCCAATTCCTGACCTGGACTCCGACCAGAACAGGCGCTGATCCTGGAAAGGGTGGGCTAGAGGAAGGACTTTCACTTTCTCGCGTTTGTATCTGCTGA